TTCTAATAATCTGAGACATTTGAATGACATCTGAGTTAAACATGTAGGAAGCCATCAGAGAGACGACAGAGGACAATGGCCAATCAGTCAAGCCCAGAAAGAGCCTGCAGGAAGTTTTTCATTTTACACGATCTTGTTAAGAAATAAGAGACATAAGTTTGGCTGTGTCTGCTAGATGTAAATGATGATAATCTCTATATGCTTCTAAGAAATATAAATATCAAAGTGAATTTTGAAGGAAGCCATATTGCATGAAAATTAGAAAATGTTTGTATTCACAACCAAAAAATAAATCTGCTTTAGCTTTCTTCTTTGGTGTGCTATATCCCTTCAAGGCATCAGCAATCATGGCTCTCCACAACTTTCTGCCCTTTGTAACTTAGTAAATGTTGTCTTTATTCCATCCCTCTTAAACCCTCTGCAATCCATTTACACAAGTTCATTGGGTATTTTATTCACTGTTTTTCTCTTACTCCCTTGCCCTGTGAGAGTCAAATTTTCCAAACCTGCCATGATTTATCATTGGAAGCCACAATTTTAACAACATATGTAGATGACACTGTGTTGATAGCAGACACAGAAATTAAACTACAAGGACTCCTACAGAAGGTAGTGAAGGAAAGCAAGAAGAAAGGACTAAACATCAATTGCAAGATGTTGCAAAGTACATCAAAAGTATGTTGAGGCTGGGGGAAACACCTAACCAATTTCTCAAACAGCAATTATGTTGGTAATATACAGAGAGGCAGGAGGTAACAAAATAATACTGCCTTGGAATCCACAGAAAAATTTAGGAAAAAATGCCCATAGGACATTCTTCACAAGACACTGTGTTTTGCCAACTGCTGATTTTCCCATTATTTTTATTGGTATTAGACATCTTGCAAAGACCCAGATCCTGACCAGTTGCAGAGAATCCCATATCTAGACATACCTGTCTCGCTGCTGATGGGAAAACCCAGATGCAACTGGTGTTGGCAAACATGTCTGCATGCAATCCAGTGCCTTTTTTGTATCTGTACTAATTTATGTTCACCACGCAAAAAGATGGAATGCATGGTTGTCAGCAAAAGGGACAACCTAACATGCAACAAATTACAAATTGGAGATAGCAAAATGAAACAAGTACAACAATTTAAATATCTGGGAAATCTTTTAACAGAGGACACAAGCACAAAACTGAAATGTGAAGGGTCATTGGCGTAGTGGAAGATGTCTTCCAAAAGCTAAGCAAAGTATTTTGAAACAGATATTTCATTAGAAAAAAAATTATATTTGTTGGGCATTTGGTAGGTAATTTTTATTCTTTTTCAAGAAATTGGATTCCAATATGAATTAAGAAAAAAATTATATTTGTTGGGCATTTGGTGGGTAGTTTTTATTTTTTTTCAGGAAATCGGATTCCAATATGAATTAAAAAAAAAAAATTATATTTGTTGGGCATTTGGCAGATTTTATTCTTTTTCAAGAAATCAAATTCCAATATGAATTAAGAAAAAAAATTATATTTGTTGGGCATTTGGTAGGTAATTTTTATTCTTTTCCAAGAAATCGGATTCCAATACGAAATAAGAAAAAAATTATATTTGTTGGGCATTTTTATTCTTTTTCAAGAAATCGGATTCCAATATGAATTAAGAAAAAAATTATATTTGTTGGGCATTTGGTAGGTAATTTTTATTCTTTTTCACGTAATCGGATTCCGATATGAATTAAGAAAAAAATATTTGTTAGGGATTTGGAACTGTTACCTAATATCAGTCCTCCTATATGGTAGTGAATGCTAGATAATTTCCTCGCAGATGTAAAAGAGACTTGAAGCAACAGAAATGTGGTTCTATAGAAGGATACTAATAATGCCATGGACCAAACATGCGAGCAACGATAAAGTTTTAGAGAAAATACAAACAAAAAGAGCACTTATACTTTATTTTGTCATGTCAATGAACACTTGTTACCACTTTTGTAATGCCAACGAATACTTGTTGTAACTTTCGTAATGCTTATTTTAGTAGAGACTTTGTAATTGCAGATATAACTATAGTACACCATTGAACAATACTGGTGTCAGATGTCTTTGAATAATCTTGCACTAAAAGTATTTGCTTGATAATACTTGATATTACTCAAATAGTAATCCGTATAGTGATCCGAAATAGAGAAATAGTATAGTGAATAGATTAGAGAATAGTGGTCCGTATAGTAATAAAGGAAAGAGTAGAAATGGTGATCTGAATAGTAATAGAGGATAGAATAGAAATGCAGATCAATCTACACATCATATGGACTTCCTATATATGTGTTTCCTCTATGGTCATATAAGCCACTTAATAATGGGATCACCTGTGCTCACTGGTGATCTATATACAAACTAAAGTGTTGGCAGTAACACTTTATGCCTATATAACACTTGAACACCAGAAAAGGGGCAGATGAAATTTCTAGTGCACATTGTGAGGAAGGATGACTTGGAAAATTTGATACTCACAGGACATACTTAAGGAAGGAGGAATAGTGGAAAACAATGTATATCCTACCTAACGAGCTTCAGTAAATGGATGGCAGAACAATGTTTATGAGAGATAATAAAAAGACAAAATTTATTAAGAGCTACAAAGGATAGGAAAATGTGGAGAGACATGACCACCAAAGTCATGAAAGGACATGCACATAGAAGAAGAATAAGACTGTTATAATTTGCCAAGTGTCTTGTTTCAAAGTCATCGATACCTATATTCTTGAAGGGTTTTAATGTGGAAATTATTTTTTGTGAATTTTTTGTGTTTAGAATCTAGTTTCAAACATTATGATGCTTACAAGTTTAGAATCTAGTTTCAAACATTATGATGCTTACAAGTTTAGAATCTAGTTTCAAACATTATGATGCTTACAAGTTTAGAATCTAGTTTCAAACATTATGATGCTTACAAGTTTAGAATCTAGTTTCAAACATTATGATGCTTACAAGTTTAGAATCTAGTTTCAAACATTATGATGCTTACAAGTTTAGAATCTAGTTTCAAACATTATGATGCTTACAAGTTTAGAATCTAGTTTCAAACATTATGATGCTTACAAGTTTAGAATCTAGTTTCAAACATTATGATGCTTACAAGTTTAGAATCTAGTTTCAAACATTATGATGCTTACAAGTTTAGAATCTAGTTTCAAACATTATGATGCTTACATAACAATTGACAGCTCCTCCTTTTATTGTAGTGTAACAAAGACCTTCAAGAATCAAATCATAGTTACTAACAACCTGGGAATATCAACAAATCACTTCGAACAAGTCATGAATTCACTGTATAGAAAATTGTGGAGAGCCATGATCATCAAAATCCTGAATGGATATGGCATATAAAGGAAAACATTTAATGGGATGGATTATAAGGAGACAAACATTATTTGGAGTTGCAAAAATAGGAAACTGTGAAGAGCCATAAATAGTGAAAGTGATACATGACATCAGATAGAGATAGTTGATAGTGACCTTAAATGAATGGCAGAACAGTATTTATGAGAAATAAAAATAACCACAAAAATAGGAAATTGTGGAGAGCCATGATCAAGGCACATGCAACTTAGAAGATGAAAAAGCAATTACTGGGAGTGATAGTCTGGAGACAGACATTACTTAGAGCTACAAATAATATAAATATGGATTAGTAGAGACAGCAAAAATATTAACTTTATTGAAGACTACAAAGGAAATCGTGGAGGGCAATGATCACCAATATCCTGAAGGGTTGACTGATTGACTTGTTTTTTTATGGCTTATCCACCTTTTATAGGTTATTTCAAGCCAAGAAATATTTTTAGATTGTAAGAATTATTTTAAGATTTACTGATACAAGTCCTACTAATTAGCCCATTGCTGGGGGAACAAGAGGTGGATTCATAGTTTTCCCAAGAGTATTTACACATAAGTGAATATAACCAATCCATCTGGAAGAGGATCTCAACCGTCTGATTTCTAATTTTCAGCTATTGTCACCTGCATATCCAAGCTTATAGCACTTGATATTCCTAAGTGGTCAACCATATAGGCATGAACCAGGCTTGACTATTGCTTAACTTTGGTAATTGTATAAGAACTAAAGTTTCAATGTGATATAGCCATCCAGAAGGGATTCATTTGCAGTCTCTGGAATATTAAAGTAAATCAGTTGTGACCAAGAAGTGAGGGATCCGTTTATTTATTGATTGTAATATAGAATTGATCTCCCAATTTATATTCACATAATTTCTTGTTTGTTATTTCGAATTTTGATTAGGTATGAATCCACCTCTTCTCCCCACCCTAGCTATGGGTTAATTAGTAAGACTTGTATCGGTAAATAACTATTATTTCCTCAAAGAAAGAAATTCTTACAATCTAAAAAAAATATTTTCTGACTTTAAACATTCGTTCTTTTTATCCATATTCCTAAACAATTTCTAATTGTTCCTTATTTTTTTTTTATTAATAATCATCTGTTTTGCCTTTTTATTCACTTAATTCTTCCCACTAATATTGCTTTCCTCCAATTAAGAAATTCTACATAGAAGATTACTTAGAACTACAAATGACAGAACTAGAGACTAGAAGAGATAGCCAAAAGACAAACTGTACTAAGTGCTACAAAGGACAGGAAATTGTGGAGAGCCATAATCACCCATGTACTGAAGGGACATGGGACATAGGAGAAAATTAGTTTACTTTCTTGTAAGTTTCCTAAACTATCTTTTATGTTAATGTATATTCTGGTCAAGAAAATTCAAGAAATTCTTGAAAGATTTTCTGCCAAAGAATATAATTTGCAGTCTTCTTTCAATTGGTTGAAGTCTCTCCGGATTTGCTTTCTTATACAACCAAATTATTATTACTCACTGAATATCACTAGAATATTGCAGTGATGGGAGATGGCAACTCTTTCATCTGTTTCTGAATTATAATACCAGAGATTATTATACGAGGGTGTGAGATAAAATGCATCAATGACTGACAATGTTATTACAGTGGGACAATTTCAGCATGAAGAAAGAGAGATATGATAATAAAAGAAAAGTATATGAAATATTGACTGAAGACAAAGAAACAATTCCCAGCTGACAAAGGAGAGTGCCGATTATGCCATTGCTTACAGTAACTTAATATAAGTAAAAAGAATCGGTGAAAGATGGAAGAGGAAAAGAAAGAAAGGAAAGAAGTAAAAGAGGCAAATGGGAGACAGATAAGAGGAGGAAAGCAGTGAGAAAAGAAAGAGGAGGAAAATGTCAAGGATGAAAAAGAAAATGGAAAAGTGAAAGAAAAGGGAGGGAAAAGAGAGGAAGCATTTAAGAAAACAGGAGAATGGATAGAAAAGAGAAGAAATCAAGGGGTCGATAGGAAAAGGCCGGGAGAGTGGAGAGGGAGGAAAAGGCCGGGAGAGTGGAGAGGGAGGAAAAAGCCGGGAGAGTGGAGAGGGAGGAAAAGGCCGGGAGAGTGGAGAGGGAGGAAAAGGCCGGGAGAGTGGAGAGGGAGGAAAAGGCCGGGAGAGTGGAGAGGGAGGAAAAGGCCAAGAGAGTGGAGCGGGAGGAAAAGGCCGGGAGAGTGGAGCGAGAGGAAAACATCAAGAAATTACAGAGAGGCCAGAAACTGTGAAAATCTATAAGATAAACAGAATTAAGAGACGCTTTGAATGAGAGAAAGAGTGAGGAAAGGAAATAAGAAAGAGAAAAAAATAAAATAAAGAAAAGGAGGGAAGAAGTAGAACGAATGAGGAACGGTGCTGTCCATTTCAACATGATGCAGGATATACAATTTAAAGGTCTAATATGAAAAGTCCATTAAATCCATCGAAATAATTTTATTATTTGTTTATTTCTTAATGTAGAAAATTTGTTTAATATAAGATTCACTTTTATACAATATAAAATTATAAAAAAAGATGTAAGATTTAATCATTATATGATAGTCAAAGTCTGTGGTTCTTTACCGTTTTTGAGTAGCAATCTTAAGTTTTATCTAAAATTTATTATAGAGATCAAGGTTTCCATAAAGTAAATTTATTGTCGGCATAATTAAAAATGATGGTTATTATAAAAGAAAAATGCAAGGAAATTTATATTTTATTAATGACTAACATCCAGAAATAATATGGAAAACCAAGTCTTGTATTTCCTAAAGAGGTTTTATCTTTTCTTCATTCTTATTGCCATCTTCTCCGATTCCCTTTCCAATCTAGCATCATTTTGATTCCTTTTCCTGATTCCTATCTACTTTTTCCTCCTTCCCAACTTTCCTTTCCTACTTTACTCTTCTCAAAGTTTATATTGTTAACAACAGTAAATAGACAAAGAAGAGATTTGAGCATCTGAACAATGTTCAATATATTAATGATTCTTCTCAAAGTTTATGTTGTTAACAACAGTAAATAGACAATGTTGAATATGTTAATGACTCTTCTCAAAGTTTATGTTGTAAACAACAGTAAATAGACAATGTTGAATATGTTAATGACTCTTCTCAAAGTTTATGTTGTTAACAACAGTAAATAGACAATGTTTAATATGTTAATGACTCTTCTCAAAGTTTATGTTGTTAACAACAGTAAATAGACAATGTTGAATATGTTAATGACTCTTCGCAAAGATATTGACTAAAAAGATTCTAATGCTACAAGCATAAAAACAAATATACTATCATGACTAAAGAGTAGTTTTAAAAAGTTAGATTTGGTCTTATACTTCCTGTCGAGCTTTCTTTAGCTAAAAAACTAAGAGCATCTTATATTGTTACTCAAGCATCCTTAGTCAAAATAGACAGGAGTTCAAATCTTCCTGGAAGTTTACTTTTTATAATTGCTCATCAGCACTGCCAAAGCAAAGGTCATCAGCTTTGATCCTGGAGCACCTAGAAGAAGAACTGAAACCTATGAGCATTACTTACCAAAGTAACAACCATTATTAGTATTCACTATATCACTTCAAGAACAAGTAAGCCTCTCACATGTAACAGGAGCAGCTAAATGGATCCAAATGATTTAGAGATAACAAAGAACACCAAGACACCTGACATTATATATGAAGTTTTATTCATCTGTCTCCACTTCATTAAAAGCCCGCATAAAACCACACTCTATGTAGACTTTTAATCTATCTCCTGCTTAGAGTTAATTGGGGCTCCAGCCTAAAACTAAGAGAACTTCTGGTCCAGCTTAGAAAACAGCAATTAAAATTTTCAAGAAATAACTTTGTATTCCTCATTTTACTCCATGAAACTTCAAAACCTCACATTAACTCCAATTATGGAGACTGATTGGGGCCAAAATTCCAGTTCAGGCTGAAAACTTTTTTTTTTTTTTTTCAAATCAGAAACTCTGTGAAACTTCAAATGAGAGGAGTTCTTCAAACCACAAACTCTGCAGAACTTCAAAACCTTACATCACAAAATCTTTCACTTTAACTCTGATTCCTTGGCAATTGGAAGAAATAAAATTGATTTCCTCAATTCACCAAGTTTTTGAGATATTTTAAACTGAATTAAAAACAAAAAGTTTTAAACAAAGATTTTGTGTGACTTTAAACTAAATATAAATTAAAAACTTAAAATAACTTTTTTTTTTTTCAGTTAGATTTAAAATTTGAATTTTAACAGTTCCATCCTTCTTCGGACACAAATCCCAATGCTGGATGTTCAAGCACCAGATGAAGAGCAGACTTTCAATCCCAGGATCACCCTGGTTCAAAAAAGGTCTATAGGTCTATATGCCTATTTAGAGCAAGTGTTGCTTGAGTTAGAGGGGGCTTCAGACACACTGACAGATATACAGAATTTGCCATTTATTTATTTAGAAGAAATGATACTTGGTTATCTATAAGTGACATCTGAGAATATGAGAAGTACCTTCCAAAGTAGTAACAACCTATTTTTATGATATTGTCTAGAAAGTGGAACATGAGGTAAACTTAAATAGCATGAATTAGGCAGATGACTGCAAAAGACATTGAGTTATGTACAAAATTAAGTCTAAATTTTTTGTTCTAGTTTTAAAAATCATCTATTCATTGCTTTCAACATCAGGAAGAAATCATCAAAAGCGATTACAGGAAACGGAAAGAAGAATTAAGCCATATATATTGCTCCTTATGTTCTTATATGATGAGGAAAGAAGGACTAGAGAATTTAACATTCACAGGGCCTAAAGAAAGCAAGAGAACCAGAGAAAAGCAGCAAGAAATCTTGAGTTTGTGTTAATGAATGGCAGGACAAAGACAAATTTCCAGTCAAATTAACCCATAGCTGCAGGGAGATGAGATGGATATGTACCTTTTGTAAGAGTATTTTTGTCTAAGTAAATATAATGAACTTCACTAAAATTCAAACTCAGCTCTTCAATTTCTTATTCTGAGTCACATGCCATTTCCCAAATTGTAGAATTCCTGTCAAGTTCATTACATTTACACTTATACACAAAAACTTTTGGGAAAAGTATGAAACCATCTCTTCTCCCTCCAGCTATGGGTTAAACAGCAAGGCTAACTGGGTTTCCAGCCAATATTTGCAATCTAGCTAAAACAGTGGTTCCCAAACAGTGCAGTGCACTTTATAGCTGTGGCAGATGAGAATAGCAGGTGAGGCAGAAGAGGATAGCAGGTGAGGTGGAATGATTGAAAGACAATAAAAGATCTCGAAACAGTTTCAAAAATTTCATATCACAAAAATAAATATGATTTCAAAATTTAAAGTATTATTATGGATTTCTTGTAATTGTATGTATGAGTCCCAGCATAAATAGTTATAAATAATTATCGACAGATTTTATCGCTGTCATATTTTTGCATTATATCAAGAATATATAAAGAATATAGTAACTTGGGTCTGTAAATTGGAAGAGAGAGTTTTCAATAACAATGTTCTGATTTTGAATCAGTGGTTATCTCCCTTTAACCCTCTCACTGAACCTTCTTTCCCATAGTGCTGCTTGTGCCTTTTGATAAGGACTTCCTTTTGGTTAGGTGTGAGCATATTTTCCTTCTGAAAACACAGCTCAGAGAAAAAAGTTTTGGCACAACTGGTATAGAAGAACAATTCTGAATTCAAAACCATATGTGATCCTAACACTTCAACAGAGATACCTTAAGCAAGATCTCTATTAGGTTACAACCTAAGTGCTCCATCATAAACAACTTGTTGAATAAGAGTTGTGCAAAGATCGATGTAATCAATTATGCCATTATTGATTTAATTGATTATTCAATGTGTCATCCATTTGCCACCCACTATCATACCCTGTTTAAACTCTGATAATTAGTATTGGTTTGCAGCATAGCTACTTTTTCACACTGAATTAGCAGACGTCAGATCTCAATTCGTATAGGTGTAGGCATTTCTATGATGTCAAGGTATGGTGGTGCCACCTTCCATTAGCTTTAAAAATTGCCATTCCATAACTTTTGGCATTTCAGTGTATAATCAGATTTCCATAGTAAGTACAAAATGAATTCACTGAGATTCAAACCATCTGTATACAAGATGGTGGTGGAATATGTTCAAAGTTCATATCACTGTAACTAATGAGATTATCCGAGATACCTCTCTCGTTTTGGTGTGCCATAAGAATTCTTGATGAAAAATAGAGCCAGAACTTTACCATAATTGGTTTTAATTCTGTAATTTATGCTGTAAGTAGATTTTTACAAGATGGTATTGCTTTTCCAATGTCCTACCAGTTTTGGATTCAGAGCTTCGCCTTTCTTGTAGACTGGTTGCTAATCAAGGCTAGAGCGACCAGTCTGCTCTGCTATCTAACTCAATGCTGGGGGAAGAGAAATGGATTCATGCCTTTTCCATATCTAGTATGTCATGTCAGCAGCTGAAAAATTTCAGATTTTGGAATTCTGGATAAAGGATACTCAATGTCTAATAATAATAATGATGTCTGCCTGGAAGGAGAATCTACCATCATTTACACCATTTATATGCATAAAAGTGAATGCAATGACTCGGTCAGGATTTGAAGTTGGAATGCTGATTCCATTTTCTGCATTGATAACCATGATGCTCTGCACATAGGTTGACCATTATCCTCTCCCACTGGTTTGGTTTGTTTTGTTTTACAGTATAACCTCAATGGGTCATTTAATGCCGACAACTTTTTTTTTTCCTGGTAATATTTTTGTTTTGTCAAAAATTCATTTGTTAATATTTTTTTTTCTCAAAAACATATAGCTGGTAATATTATTTTTTCAAAAACGTATACCTGGTAATATTATTTTTTCAAAAACGTATACCTGGTA